TATTATTATTATTACACACAGGCCTGGGTACCTATTATTATTATTATTATTATTATTACACACAGGCCTGGGTACATATTATTATTATTATTATTATTACTACACACAGGCCTGGGTACCTATTATTATTATTATTATTATTATTACACACAGGCCTGGGTACCTATTATTATTATTATTATTATTACACACAGGCCTGGGTACCTATTATTATTATTATTATTATTATTATTATTACACACAGCTCGCTGCAGGCTCTTTACATTCATTATTTTTACATCTGATGATATAAATCCATATTCTCAGGGAATTTATTGTATGATGGCTGCAGGTATCCAGTCTGCAAATGGTTAGAAATCATTGTGTTTATGGTGAATGGCATTGAATAAGCATGCAGTCCTCCTGTCTATAGAAATATCCTGAATTATTGCCTATCACTGCCCTCCTGAAATCACATTAACACAGGCCATGTCAGGGACAATTATACATCTAAATGAACACTGTGCAAACTCATCCTGATTGGTATGTGATGACAGAATTATAGTGCTTTTCAAAATAAACCCAGGTTTCAGCTTTTTGTAGGTTTTATGGCATACCTTGCAAAGTGGTGTTCAGTACCTGACTTCCATTGGAATTAAATGTAAGGCCTTTATTAAAAAGCCACACATGTTGTTACCTTTATTTTAGGTCTCTCAGGGTTGTGGTGGGAAGGTTTAATCTAATCTGTTAACCCAGATTGTATGTTGCAATATCAGCGCTGATTCATGAATCCTGCAAAATAGTCAGTTACACCAGAGATGCTGTAATAGCATAATGTAATTATTATATATATGGTTTTATATGCAACATTTTTCCAGGTTATATGGTGACATCATATCATATAAGTAATTAGTAATCAGAACCATATATGAAAATGAAATATAGGAACAAAAAAAACCTATGAATACATGGAAGGAGAAAGCATTCAGGTAAACTTTCTCACATCTCATCCTCAACAGTATCAAGGTATCACTTCCACATTTTACACAAAGGTTTTGATTGTGCCAAGCTAGACTTGTCATTTTATAGTGCTGGGGTCTAATCTCTGCACCCATGACACACAGTTTGAGATTTTCTGGCTTTTTTCACCTGGTGAATGAATAATTTTATCTTCTTTGGTAAAGCCGGTAGATAGATTTTGTCACAGCCATTTCTGCAATACTATTATAAAGGAGTAGACAAATTGAAAAATATCTGTCTGCAGCCGAGATAATGTAGGGTATTTCCATCGCACAACCAGCTCCTCCTCACCTCCAACATTTAACTAAATATATGACTGCATAACAGATGACAAACATCACACTTTATTGGACTATTTGTGTTCATTCTGTTATTGTTCCTTGTTTGAAATTGCTTTAGTGTTCTGTAATGAGACATATGTTTAACTTTCAAGAGGGGTTGTTTAATAAAAAGTTGTAGTAAGAGCAGTCACTGTCCATTCTTAGAATTATTGATAAACATTGGCTAATTATTGATAAACATATCTATGTAATATAAAGTTTCTACGCACTGATGTTTTCTATTTTACAGGGAATTCCCATACTCTGACCCTTTGCAAGGGTGTCCTCTTTCACCACGACATGGCTAGGATTTCTCAGTTAAGCATGTTCCTCCAATACTTACTTTACATGTATAATTTTTTTAATTTTGCTATAAATTGTAAATACAATTTATCTCACTGACTGCAGAGGTCCATTTAACGATAATCCATTCCACAAGCATACTGCGTAATTCTGTAATAATGGATAAGTATAAGAAACAGATGACTGAGAAGATCTTGGACCTTACTCTAGAAATCATCTACCTTCTGACTGGTGAGGTGAGCAGTGATATACATGGCTTTTTTGCACACTCACCCCAGATGCACTTTATCACTCCCTTGCAATGCATGTGTGTATGAAATGATATGTGTATTGTGTGTTATGTATACTATATATAGAGCTCACATTTGAGAGCTGACAGCAGTTTTGCTGTTATTGATGGCTAATGATGTCTACTACCTCTCTATGTCGCTTTTCATTCTCTATATCACAAGCAGATTTTCTTCCTCCATCTTTACCCTTGGTGTCTAGAGGGGTCTGAGTTATAGATTCTACCAAAAATATATAAACTCAACCATTCTGGAGTACCTATGGGGTTAGATTATTATTATTATTATTGCCATTTATATAGCGCCAACAGATTCCGTAGCGCTTCATATTATCTGTATATTTATTCATTCATTTCCTCATAAATTACAAAATGAATGGAAAAGGTCAAATGCCACTGGTAAAATACTTTTGGGGAAGATTTGGCTCATAATAAACCTACAGGTCCAGATTGCCATGTGTTGAATACTAATGCTTTGCTAGCCAATCCAAACCATTCTCATATTTACTGCAGCTGCAAAAAATGATAAAATTATATAAAACACAACAACATTTTTTTTGTTATTATTCTTTTTAATATTAGATTAAATTACAAACAAACATTGTTCCCCTTCAAATAGTTACATTAAATTACAGGTTATATGTATAAATATGGAATGAACTGAAACCCCTGTCTGTCTTTTAAAGCCAGTATATAACTTATTTGGGTATGCTGAATAGAATGTGAATTATGGATAAACATATAGTATTAATGCCATATTGATCTTTCCTTTTAGGTACAAAATAGCCTTGGCTCTTTAAGATTAATATATTTCTCAATCCATAGGATTGTGTAGTTGTGAAGAAGCCTGGAGATAATGTTATTTGGAACAGTATTCTCTGTGTGTTAGAAAGATCCTACAAAAGTCAGCCTCATAGCACAGTGCCTTCACATGATAAAAACGATGACAAGAAGATCCTTGAACTGACCAATCATATCATCCAGCTACTGACTGGAGAGGTGAGGCTGCTGGGAATGGGACATTATACTGTGAAACCAAGGGATGTGTCTGGATGGTGACTGTATCATTGTTTGTGTCAGGTTCCTATAAGGTGTGAGGATGTCACTGTCTATTTCTCCATGGAGGAGTGGGAATATCTGGAAGGACACCAGGATTTCTACAAGGATGTGTTGATGGAGAATCACAAACTGGTCAACCCACTCGGTAAGAGGAGGTTTTATCTAAAAAAGTTAGTATTTCTAGACGTTGATAACCTATATAGGAAATATAAGATAACTCATAATGAGTATAAAGAGTAGGATATGTAAATACCTTATATCACTAGGAAATATTCAGTAATAAGGTGTAAATGGAAGAACTGAGTAACAGGAAATTAAGCAGGTTAATGATTTCACTCAGTAAATTTCTCGTATGTCATATAACAGGTCTCCAGAGCACATATTGTGACAGAATCCACTATTATGTGACAGAATCCACAGTAAGTCATGTTATAGGGCACATTGTTATGTCATATAACAGATCTAAATCAAAGCCAGTAGCATTCTAAAATACAATCTTCAATCTCCATGCCTGGATCAGAGGGAAGCAAACTGTCTAGAGCATTTAGAAAATAAGCACTAGCACTGAAATCTGCCGAATGCCCTCACATTGGCTAGCTTACAATGATAAGTACTCATTAGCAATTTATAAAAGGGATTCTTGGTAACCAGTGAATGAGATTTGGGAACTCTGGTTGGGCCAGTCCAAGCTTCTCATCACACCATGTGCTTTACCACCAACTAGTTTCTATGGCCACAGACTACACAGCAGTCACACTCCATAGCTCCACTGCCATTTATCCAAAGATTCTATGCACTTGGCTCAGGTTTTCCCCTCGGACATCATTGGTTACAGGTACTCAGGTTCTTTGGCGCCCATCATACTTAAAGGACCACTATAGTGCCAGGAAAACATACTCGTTTTCCTGGCACTATAGTGCCCTGAGGGTGCCCCCACCCTCAGGGTCCCCCTCCCGCCCGGCTCTGGAAAGGGGAAAGGGGTTTAAACTTACCTTTTTCCAGCGCTGGGCGGGGAGCTCTCCTCTTCCGATCCTCCTCCGTTCCGCCCCGTCGGTTGAATGTGCACGCGCGGCAAGAGCTGCGCGCGCATTCAGCCGGTCGCATAGGAAAGCATTTACAATGCTTTCCTATGGACGCTGGCGTGCTCTCACTGTGAAAATCACAGTGAGAAGCACGCAAGCGCCTCTAGTGGCTGTCAATGAGACAGCCACTAAAGGCTTTGGGGGAAGGCTTAACCCATTAATAAACATAGCAGTTTCTCTGAAACTGCTATGTTTATTAAAAAATGGGTTAACCCTAGCTGGACCTGGCACCCAGACCACTTCATTAAGCTGAAGTGTTCTGGGTGCCTAAAGTGGTCCTTTAAGAGAGTCCTGATCATTCTTCTGTTGGTCCCCGACGAAGGTGCAGTACACAAGCACCGAAACGAGCGTCGGGCATTTTTTTCTTTTTCTTTTCTCTATTATGGGCACTGGGCATCGTTTGATTTAAGCACTCTTAAATTCAAATATGATTTGATTACCTTACTTTTCACTAGCTTATCTTTTTGCTACTATGCCTGTCTAGATAGATTTACGGGGAGAGAGGTTTTATAAATTCTACTGTCAGTTTATTTGAAACTGACCTCTTTATCTCATACTGCTTACTCCCTCTCCTTTCTATCTGAAAGTATTTCTCCTCTGGATATTATTGTGCGGCAGTCCTGCATTGTTTGTTTGGTCTTTGTGACCACGATCAACTGCCCTAAACTGCCTTTTACTTTAGGGACCTTATCCATTATTGCTAGTTGGCTAATCTGGATGGCTCCAACAACGGCATTTTGTGTACCCTGGAGAGTAAGGGTTCGAGATCTAGTACTTCAGGAGACAGCACCCAGAGGAGCAAACGTGTTAGACCAGAGATAGGGGTCATAAGTTGGGATTGATTTTTTCATTTAAGCAAGTCTCTTAATAAAGCTTTATTTCAGTACCTTATATCATATCAGAAAATGACTTTCCTGTTACTGGTCACTGAAACCAGAACCAGGACTGTCAGCTGGACAAAATATTAGTAGATAATAGATAATTAAATCAAAATTGCCATCAATATGTCGGAATATAGAGAGGGTTCATACGTAGATTCAAGTGATTAAAATAGCCTAAATGGCTCTTCTCCTGTCTAAAGGACTCTTAGACGTAAAGAATCTATTTGAGACTCAGGACTTTAATATAATCAACCATAGTATGTCCATGTCAACAGTAAAAGCGGTTGTGGAATGAGCCTTTAAATTAACTCCTGTAATCTAGATGGAAAAGACAATCAGTCAAGGAGGAACTTTGAATATTGGCTGTATATAAAGTAACACTTGTAGCAAAGCCCGCTGTATCAAAAAAGCTACAATAAGAGTGTAGTTAAGCAATCAGCAATTAAGGATAACAGCATTTAGCTGGATACCAAGTAACATATAATAAAAGGAAAAAAGTCTACATGAAAATTCATAGATTAATCACAAAATATGTCATAAATGATAAATCTTAAGTTAGTGGTTTCCTAAATCGCTATGGGGTACAAAGAGTATCTGTTGCCCCCTCAAATACATACAGAGCCAGTCCAGATTCCTCAATCAAATAGATAATTCCAATCTAGATAGCATATCAGGAGTGACAGGAGGAAAAGGTGAAAAATTAGGAAATAATAGTGCTAATGTGTAGAACCATGCTTAGAGTGTTGGTTACCTACACATCGTGAAATAGTGCCCTAGAAGTGAAAATAAAAAGTGAGTGAAAGTGAAGGAGAAAAACCTCCTTCAACCCGACGCGCGTTTCGGTGCTGTGATGCACCTTCGTCAGGGGCTGAATTCGTTATGGACCCTAGACCTTGTTTAAATACCCCTGGTATTGTAACTGTTGAGAGGATTCCACCAATCAGGGTTCCTGTGTGGACCGTCAGTTGGCGCCAAAATGACGTCAGAATATGCTAATTAGCTGTTTAAATAAAGAAAAAAAGAAAAAAAAAAAAGGAGAAAGAAAACTCCAAACAGGGTTAAGTCCACCTCTACATTGTGTGGTTTATATTTAACCCTGTATGTACTCATTGGATGGAGTGACTTGCTTCATAGAATAGGGAAAGGACGAAGGTGAATATATCTGTGTAAATTTTATAATCAGAGACGAATGATTCGTCAAGAAATTTATATCATGTAAAGTCAGTGTATTGCTATCACAAGGCATTGTTTGAGAAGTAGACGGTTCATCATGGGTTATCTGGACGCCTGTGGGATCATGAGAATGGGTAGAGAGGCTTTGAGCGAAAAACCTCTAAAAAGTGAAAATAAGGGATTTTAACCCTCGCTCAGCCATGGGGACCTAATACCTATCCCAGGATATCATAAGGATTATATAAATATGGGCGGTCAGGTTAACTGTACTTCCTATTAGGGTAATGATCATTTCATTATCAAGCCTCATTCTCGATTTACGGGCGGAATTAACCCCCGCTATACTGTTCTTAGCAGTCATGTGAAAATAGTAATAGCTGAGCTTATACCCAAAATTCCCATGTGCGGGTATTATCAATGGCTTGATGATCGTAAATAAATTGCCAGATACTCATATACCAGTGTGTCTACATAAATACTAGGTGATAAATGCCTCTGATATACATAATCAAATATTGAGGCTTTTTATAATGCAGATAAATTCGTCAGTTCTTATTCTTACTAAATGGAGATTAGTATTTCGGTAATCGAAATTTGTCCAGCCATTCCCATTGGCAGTATCAATTCAATTTGTCAATTTAGATGGCTGGTACGTTGTGCTAGTCCATATATCCAAATAGCGTGTATAGTATTATAAATAGGAGATGGAGGGAAAAGTAGCATACGATATATTAAATTTTAAGTAATTTATATAACTTTTAATGGATCATGTGTCATCATGGGATCAGAGTGATCGGTCATGTGTAAATCTTACTGGACATAATTTACTCAAATGAGTGAGTTATATAGTATAATTAAAGTGTATCCAGAAGATACCCACTAGACAGGCTATAATAATGAGGGCTGTATACCTTCTTTGAGCCACTAGGGGTCAGTCACAGACATACCAGGGGTAAATTTCCATATTGAATGTATCTAAGTAGTATTTACTCTTTTGATGGATTAATTTCCAATTATTAAATAGTAAATTAATGAAGTGTTGCTAGGGAAGAACCGGTATTTAATCAGGGATAAAGGGAGTGTATGAGAATCCTTCGTTAAGGCCCAAGGGGGATAAAGTTTTTAATTTAAATATCCAGAAGCTCTCTCGCTGTAAGAGTCTTTTGTCCAGATCTCCCTTCCTTGGTCCCAACTTTATTTTTTCTACTCCATTAAAGCGTAAGCCCTGTGCAGAGCCGGCATGTTTAATTTTCAAATGTCTTGATATAGATGTATCTATCTGTCTAGATGGATTCACAGAGTTTATGTGTTCAAGGATGCGGGTTTTAAACTGTCTGAAAGTCTTCCCCACGTATTTCAAATTGCAACTGCAAGTAATGAGGTATATTAGGCCCTCGGTTTTGCAGTTAAAGAAGGTTTTAGTTGTGTGTATCTCAGTATTATCCGAGTTAGAGAATGATTTCGATTGTTTCCGGATAAATTTACAGGCCTTACACTTGCCGCACTGAAAGGTGCCGGCAGCAGGCGATTTAAGCCAGGTGTTAGTAGGTTTTGGGAGAGATAAATGGCTTGGAACCAAAATATCTTTTAGGTTCTGACCTCTCCTTGCTGTAATCGATACGTGGGGTGTCAGCACATCTTTAAGATGTGTATCTTGGTACAGTAGTGGCCAGAATCTCTCTAGTGTTTTTTTCATACCGTCCCAACCCGAATCAAAGGTTCCAATACATCTTATTATTTCCTGATTTTTGTTTTGGGGGGGGGGGACTTTTCGGACAGAAGGTTGGTCCTTTCAGTAGCTAGTGCCCTGTGATAAGCTCTTTTTAGACACTTGTTTGGATATCCCTTGGCTTTAAAAAGGGATCTCAGGGTCTGTGCTTTTATTTTAAAATCTTCTTGGGAGGAACAATTCCTCCTTAGTCTGAGATATTGGCCTGTCGGTATCCCACTTTTTAAAGCAGGGGGGTGATGACTCTCCCAGTTCAGAAAGTTATTGGTTGCGGTTGGTT